CGTGAAGTTCGACATACCCTGGTTCATCCAGCCACTCTGACGTTTACTTGGAAGGGAAAAAAGCAGAGTTTTACTGACCACATGGAAGCGGAAATATATATAAAGGAGCATATCCAACTACAAGGAGGTGACAAATAAATTGCTGTGACTGGAAATATGTAAGTCGAAGTATTATAATACTGTGATGAACACTGGGGGATTTCTTTTCTTAGTTGGGCTTTTTTTAGCGGGGCGCCTATAGGAACCTTTTTGCAGCATGTTCTCTTCTGATTGACAATGTATGGATAATTGAACTCACCTGGAGGACATTTAAGGAGGAGAACAGGTGAGAGGAAGGTCTTCGGCTGAGTGAACGTGACGGGCTTTTCGCGCTCAGGGGAAAATGGGGACGCTTTGTGTTGCTCGAGACCATTAGGGTTTGTTCAGCAACGAAGATAGCTAGATAGATTGAATTTGTGTAGTTAGATAATGCTGGGGAGGGTTTAGGAGCGTTGACCATATGTTCCAAGAGCATTTCAAAGAGACTGTATTGCGCAAAGAGGACTCATCAGTATTACAGATATTGTGATTACTAAGGAGAAGTGTGCTGTGTACCAAAGACTAATTACTACCAGTGACGTTGTGCTTAATTGCCGTAACTGCGGGGACAAGAATAAAGCGAAGAAGAGTGCGTGCTTTCTTTGAAGATATTGATCCGGCACGGCTGATTCCTTTCCCTAGACCCCGGGGTGGGGTCTTGTGTCCTGGAAACGGGGAAGTGTTTTACATTTTAAGTCTCTTCACGTGTTGTGTGTATGTGTGAGTGTGTATGTTAGTTGTGAGTTTTAAAGCTTATATATGAACATGATTACTCCGTCTCCGTGTACGGGACTGGGGAGGCGCTGATCTTTTCACCTGTTAAACTGACTGTTTGATCACGATTTCTAGTGTGCCGTGCGGGGCTGGGAATAACCACTAGAGTGCAATGTTGAAGTTTCACTTGTGTAGCGCCGTTTGTCCTAGTGTGGGTGTACGGAGTGGAATGTTCGTTGAACTTATTCAAATGTCTCTTTACATAACGGTTATATTTTTCTATGTACAATTGTCAAATAAAGTGATACTTTTCTATAAAATCCTGGTGTTGTGATGTACCCTCTGGCCTCCATTAATTTGATTGAACCTCTTTAAGTTAAAATAGAGGTTTATTACAATACGTTGTTGAAATGGTGGCTCGGGAAAAGCTTTGGGGTCTGTCTTCCCTTAAGGGCAGTGTTTTGAGTTTAGTTGTTTCTCCCTTATTTGTTTTATTTTCTGTATGTTTTTCAAGGTTTCATTGTTCACAAAAATGTTGGAAGTTAAATAATTGGTATTCTATTAGAAATGACTGTGGGTATAATACCAGTTTATATGTTAAAGGTTTATTTATTTATTTTTGGAACTTAACAAGCAAGTTGCATCGGAGCACAACAGGTGCACAGTTTTACACCGTGTGTGATGGATAGACAATGTATAAATATCATATCTTGGAATATAAATGGCTGTGGGTCACCTGTTAAAAGAAAAAAAATACTTGCATATCTTAAGGTCAGAAAAACTGACATTGCCTTTTTACAAGAAACACATTTTAAAGATGAAAAGGAAACTTTGAAACTTTGACGTGACTGGGTCGAACATGTGTTTCATAATTCTGTGTCAAGCAAGAGAAGTGGAGTAGCCATACTAGTGAGGAAGAAAATACATTTTGTATTGATGAATCAACACAAAGACAAGGAAGGTCGTATACTCCGAATAGAAGCAAAACTCAACGATGTTAAAGTAGTGTTTTGTAATGTATATGCACCAAATAAGGAGGAGCCTGAATTCTTTCATGAGGTAAACAAAATATTAGCCAACCTCGAGGGACATGTTATACTTGGAGGTGACTTTAATCAAACTATGGATGGCGTCCTGGACAGAAGTCAAAACAATATCAGATCAATCCCCAGAGATAGGGCTGCTATTCACACTCTTAAAGATGACAATGGATTAACAGATATTTGGAGAAGGCTATTACATTTTATGTGGATGAATCACTCTAATCTAGATCCCATTGCTGCAATATCGCTTGATAATAGGCCTTCGATAGGGTGGAGTGGGGGTTTCTTTTTGAGGCTTTAGGAAAATTTGGCTTTGGTTCAGGTTTTGTGAAGTGGGTTAAAATTCTTTACTCCAATCCTAAAGCAGCTGTAGTAACTAATGGACTAACATCATCCTTTTTTAATCTATCTAGGTCTACCCGCCAAGGCTGCCCTCTTAGTCCACTACTTTTTACATTAGTTTTGGAACCGCTTGCTTCAATGATTAGAGAGGAACCAAGAATTAAAGGTGTATTTGCAGGGGAAAGAGAACATAAGTTACTGTTATATGCCGATGACATATTGCTAGTAGTTAAAGACCCTGCAGGCTCCTTACCAGTACTCCTTAATATGATTGAATCCTATTCTAAATTTTCAGGATATAAAATCAACTGGCATAAGTCAGAGGCTATGCCAGTATCAGCAGTGTGTTTTTCTTCCTCAGTCAGTGCATTTAAGTTTAAATGGATAAATAAAGGGATTAGATATTTAGGTATCCACCTAAGCCCTAATTTAGAGAATATATTGAATTTGAATATGGTACCTTTGTTGCAGAAAATACAAACAAAATTAGATAGTTGGAAGAAAATTATGTTCACTTTGTGGGGAAAGATTAATATAATAAAGATGACGATAGCACCACAGTGTAATTAGATATCTGGGATAGTCCCTGTTACTATGCCTCACCAGATATATATAAGCGATATAATGCTATGATTAAGAATTTTTTGTGGGAAGGTAAAAGACCCAGGATTGGCGTTAATAAATTATGTTTGCCTAGAGATAGGGGAGGTTTAGCATTACCGAATAGCATTTGAAGTGTCTAAGCTCACTAGACACTGGGAGGAAGAAGAGTTAGATTTAGATTGGGTATTAATAGAACGACAACTTACTTATCCTTTTCGGCCAATAGAGACTTTTTCACAAAACTCAGAGGGGAACTTACAGCATCATATGACCAACCCAATATTGCTTCATTCTAAAGAGGTTTGGAAAATCGTCCACAGAAAATTTAAGATTTCTCACAGGTGTCAGCATTACTCATCAGTATGGAATAATCCTTATGTTAAGGTAGGGAAAAAGCCCCAGTTTTGGGGACAATGGTTTAGAAATGGAATATGTACTCTAAAGGATTTATTTAATGATGATAAGCTTTTATCTTATACTAATTTAAAAGAACAATTTCATTTAGAAGGCCGGGATCACTTCTGGAAATATTTACAGATTAGAAACTGCTTGGTGGCAAAGGTTTCTATGGGACAAGAAAAGAATGTTTTAGAAAAACTACCAAGACCCCTTCAAAAATCATCTACATTTTATCAACTCAGTTTAAAGATTGGTGATAAGAACTGTGAAAATTTGAGATTGATTTGGCAAAGAGACATTAATAGTGACATAGATAAGGACACTTGGAACAGAATTTTGTCCAACAGTGGAAGGTACAAAAGGAAGCAAGAGGTAAATTTATCCAGAATAAGGTATTACATAGATATTATTATACACCAGTGCGACTTTTTAGAATGGGTTGTCTGATTGATAATAAATGCTGGAAATGTAAACAAGAAACTGGCACATACATTCATGCTCTCTGGCAATGTTCAAAGATTCAATCTTTTTGGGAAATTGTGTTGAAATATCTTGGAAGATGTTTGGGATTTAACCTTCCATTTTCATAAAGGATTTGTCTTTTAGGAGATAAATCGGAGATTCCTCAGATTAAAAATAACGAGTTTTTTTTTTGTAATCACGGCAGTACGACTGATACTTAGATTTTGGAAAGATATTCAATGTCCTTCACTTAAAATGTGGATTGAATCTATGATAGAGAATGTATCATATGAAAAAATGTTAGCTAAAGTGAATGGAAATCACATGGATGTTGACTTGTGGGAGAATTTTATTCAGATTGTTACTTCAGGCATGGATCTAGTATCAGTCATCCTTTGAAGTGTGACTTGATTACCCTGTTGTGCATTTAAGTGTCATTTCTATAATTATTATTATTATTATTTACGATAATTACTTTTGTTTGTTTTGTTTTGTATACAGTGTATTTATTTATTTATTATTTACAAAAAAAAAATTGTACTGGTATGTTTTGTTATGTATAAAGAAAGCCAATAAAAACTTCATTTTCAAAAATATATAAAAATGTTATTTAACATTTTCAGAGTTTTTTTTTTACATTAATACTATTTTTTACTGTATTTTTATTAAATAGATACAGCCTTGGTGAGCATTAGAGACTTAATGAATATTATGAAATTATTTCAAAGGTAGTGTAAATCTTGCAAGATTTGAGAATTTGCATAGAAGTTTCCAAATGTTTTTATGTGCACGTTTCTGTAATATTCTAGTGTCTGCAGAGAGCCTCCATCTATTTCTAACACTAATTATTACTTCTTGTCTAATGGACATCCATGTTTGCTCCATTCAAATCAATACAAAACTTTACGCAAACTGTACAAAGATGAAATCAGATTAAGAAAATTACCATTTATTTTTCATCTGATGTTTTTTTTTTTATTTTTTATCTGATATACTGTACAGTCAAAGAGATTATGACTCGCGCTTCGGCAGAACAGAAGTGATTCACTTGAGCTTGTTCAGACATTAAACCTTTTACAGGAAGCCTAACAAACTGCTTGAGCTGTGAGGATTGTTATCAGCGATCAGTGAGAGGAGACAGTGTGACAGCGGCTCCAGAGACCCGCAGCCGTTCTCAACTGATGCCTGAACTTTAAACACAAACTAATGTATACTTCAGGCTTCTTAAGAAGCTTGCGGCATATCTGGGTCTAAATCAGTGGGATTCTCCTCCTCTCATGTCACTGTTTTGGTATACTGTATCATAGTTTGTGCATGACTGTTATGGTTTTGTCTTTAGTATCGAGCAGGTTTCATTACCTGCCAGTCCTGAGTTCATGATGACGGTGGGAGATCCGCAGCCTGGAAGTGGAGGAGCCATGGGGGGTGGTGGAGGGGGCATAGGGGCAGATATATCCACAGCAGGGAGAGGAGGAGGAGGAGGAGGAGGAGGAGGAGGAGGAGCAGATGGACCGTTTGGTACTGGAAAACACAAGAGGAAGAAGGAGAAAGCAGGTTCAGTAACACTTTATTTTAAGGTGTCCTTGTTACACGTTACATGTACTTACTATTATAATAACAATACATTATGCATATTTACATGCAAGTAACCCCAAGCCAAACCCAAATCCTAACCCTAACAATATAGTAAGTACATGTAGTTAATTAATATTAAATAATTACATTGTAACAAGGACACCTTAAAATAAAGTGTAACCGCAGGTTCCTCTAGCCGTTTATATATTTGATTGATTTTGAAAAATTTACTTAAAAAAAAAATTCACCTAAAAAAATGCATTCTTGTGCCCCGGTTATTACACTTTCCTTTTAGAGTATTATCTAATTTCAGATTTCTCCCCTTTAACAAACTGTGGTGGGTCTCTTTATTTTTCGGCTACATTAGATGTTCTCTTCCTGCCTAAATGGATGTATTTTAACCAGAATAACCTGCACTGGGATTGATTTTCAGAGGCATTTCTTAAACCTTTGTAAGGGGCAATATTAAAAATGTCCTTATTAAAATGTATCTGTGTTGCCTTGGATTTATTCAACGAATTCAATCAGTCAAATCGATCAGAATATTGTAGGCTGCTACCAATACAGTTTTTACATGCAAGGGTAGTGACAGATTTAGATAAATTGTGCAGTGGCATTTTTTGCCCATCTTAAATTTTAGGGGCAGTTTTGTTTTGGATTTTGGCCAGAGGCGGACAGTAGTGAAGTATTTTTACTCTGCTTTAAACGTGCATTTTCAAGTGTCTATACTTTATCAGTATTTTTCTTTAGAAAACTTGGTCCCACTTTATATTAAGTGGCCTTAACTACTATGTACTTACATCAAAAAATAAGTACAATGCACTTATTGTGTTCATACTGTATTGCAAAACACATTTTGCTTGTGTAAGGGATGGGTCAACAGTATAAGTATACATTTAATTACAGAAATTAATTACAGATGTAATTACATGCAGGTAGACAGTGACTACAAAAATCTCGATAAGAGGGAGTTGTTATGGAGATGAATTGCAGATCAAATAGGGATGCGCCATCTAATGTCAGAGAGTGAATTTGCATGTTCATTCGGGTCATCGCCAGCAAAAATCGCTTGGGTATGAACACAAAAGACGCGTCGAAAAATGTCGGCGATAAGCGCGAGCGATAATCGTCCCGGTATGTACGAGGCTTTATGCTTTGGAATGTAGCGAAGTAAAAGTTTTCCAAAGAGAAACACTGATAATGTACAGATACTTTTTAAATTTACTCGAGTATTTACTGTCCACCTTGGGTTTTGGCCTCAAGCGAAACATAGTGAATAAAGTAATCCAAATAGAATAAAATTAGGGCTGCACAATTAATCAAATTTCTAATCGCGATTACAATTACGGATGCCACAATTACGTAATCGCTCAAAGCGGCAATTAATCGTTCAAAGTCCACTTATGTTATTCTGCACGCTTAAGATATGTTTTTTTCTTTCTACATATTATCTTAAGGGTTTTTCCATTGTTTTAGTTTTAGTATAACATTATAATACCATTCATATTTTTACTTTTTTTATAATTTAAAGAAGAAACCAATCCGATGCATTTTTGACATTTGAGGCTTAATACTATAGAAAAGCACTAAAGGTTTTTCAGTTAGTGTTTTCAGCTTGTTTATTTTCATATAAAAATACGGCATGCAGTTGTATCAAACAATGGAATAAACATCATTCAATGTAAATTCTGATAATCGTAATTAATAATCGCAATTACAATTTCAAGGAAATAATCGACAATTATGATTTTTGTCATAATCGTGCAGCCCTAAGACTGTACTACAATGTCAAACTTACATCCAGTACATAAAATGAGGAGAGGTCACTCACATGTCTCTGGCATAGGAGGAGGCGGAGGTTCAGGCATGGTCAGGCCATGTGCCGCACCCTCACTGGACACCCCAGCTACGCCCTGTGACCCTGGCAGAGGCCCGCTCCCCTCAGGAGGGGACGTCAGGATGGCAATGTCCCCGTCCGCTTTTTTCTGGATCTTGATGGTTCCCTGTTTCTCCAGCTCGTGGATCTTTTTCTCCAGGTTGCTCTGTTTCTGAATGGCCTCGTCCTTCTCCTTCACCATCCGCCACAGGGTGTGCACCTGAGAGCTGGCGTCTTTACACACCTCCTGTCACCACAGGGAGCACGAGTTTTGAGTTCAAGCGAACTCCTGGGGGTTTGTGTGGGAACCGTAGGGGGTTTGTGAGCTGTCAAACGGCTAATTAATTAAATTAACTGTAACATTTAAATATATAAACGGGGCTGCACAATTAATGGAAATAAAGCTGCTTATCACAAGCTGTGTATATAATCTGTAATAATGCATAACATGACCATAACCGACATAAGAAAGTTATTTTTTTTAAAGGTTTTCAAATCAATATGAAACAACATTTTAAAAGAAAACAAGACGAAAAAAGAAAGCACTGCACTTCAGGAATTAAATGGAGGATTAAAAATGGGCATTGCATTAGAATAAAGTCAGACCTGAATATTAATGTGCATGCATACTAAAGGTTGCACTTTATTTTACAGTATGTGTACTTACAGTGTACCTACTTATTACCCAGTTATTGTAATCGCAAACAAGTACATATTATGTACATGTGGACCATGACTGTAAAATAAAGTGCTATCAATGCTTCTTTTTTCAAATGCATTAATATCTGCTATTATTGACATAACCTTTATTATATAAATTAGTTTGTTAACTGCTGTAAGGCAGCACTAATACTGATTCGCGTTAATAGTTAATAAGGTTCAGGTGACATCAGTGGAAAAGTTGTTTTAGAGACTTTTTGACTATGAAGACAAACATTTGTTTCTTTGTTGATGAGCACTGTACGCGTTTTGGAAAGTTCAGCAAACAGTGGTACAAATGTACATTTGGAAAGGGAAGGTTCTATAGATATTGTGCAATAAATGTTAAGCATTGAATAACATGCACTCGATGTAACAAACCGTACAGGCAACTCAAGAAATCATGGGGATGTGATGTAAGGATGCATCATTTACCCGGATCGACTCCAGCTCTTTATTTTTTTGCATCAGTTGTTTCTCCAGCTCGACGATTTTTGCCATTGCCTCATTCTCTGTGTCCTGCAACCTCTCTATCAGCTAGAAAACCACAAACAAGAATCAACAAGAAATAAGTCTCCAGCTACAGGATGCAGATTCACAAAGACAGAGCACTTGAATCTCAAGAGTCCAGCCAGGGTTGCATAAATATTAAACTTCAGATTCACAGCAATATCACTTTAGTATTCGTGAATCCTGATTAATCCGAATTCTTGACAAAAATCAATACCACACTAATGAGGAAATTACCTCAGCTCAGGAAGTCATCCTTTGGGCAGATGGCCCAACTGTCACAAAAGGTCAAAGGTCAAGCTACATGTATGACTGGGTCCTATCATGTTGCATTATCATTAAAGGCTTTCAGCTGAACTCAATACTGGTCATGTAAGGTCATGTTGTTGGGCAGGTGGTGCATTGTTAAACAAAAGGCCTTGAATGGTAAGCACTCCTGAATATGGCACTGAAATTATTGTTTTTTCTGCTTATAATGAGTGTAGCTGCAAAAACAGTACTAACATGAGACATGTTCTCCTCCAGTTCCTCCACTCTCTCCAGCGCTGCGTTCTTGGTCTCTGCGTCCTCTAACAGAGCCCCGACATCGAACACATTATCCAGGTACGCCTGAATCTGCACATGCAGCTTATCACTCTCGGTGTGCTTCAGTTTCTACTCAAAGACAGCCACAGAGAGAGAGAGAGTGATGGATCCTCTGGCTGCTCATTCCACAGTTAGAGCGACACTGAACATTAGCATCAGAAGACTCAGCACTGAAGTTTACTCACGTCCAGATATTCGTCCAGACAATATGGCACTGAAATTATTGTTTTTTCTGCTTATAATGAGTGTAGCTGCAAAAACAGTACTAACATGAGACATGTTCTCCTCCAGTTCCTCCACTCTCTCCAGCGCTGCGTTCTTGGTCTCTGCGTCCTCTAACAGAGCCCCGACATCGAACACATTATCCAGGTACGCCTGAATCTGCACATGCAGCTTATCACTCTCGGTGTGCTTCAGTTTCTACTCAAAGACAGCCACAGAGAGAGAGTGATGGATCCTCTGGCAGCTCACTCCACGGTTAGAGCGACACTGAACATTAGCATCAGAAGACTCAGCACTGAAGTTTACTCACGTCCAGATATTCGTCCAGAGCCAGCTTGGTGAAGTCGTACTGTAAGTGCACTCTGAAATTCATCTCTTCCACTGAATGAACCACAATGTTGATGAACTGCATGCATGCAACCTGAACGACAATATACACCATACTGAAGACTTTCAATTGATATATTGATGAAGAAAACTGAGTTTTAACTATAGAAATGAAAATGCATAGCATAATAGAAATCTTAATTATTACTCTTATTTAATTATTTTTCTGTACAACTGTGGATTGGGGCTATATTAAAAAAAACTGCAAAAGCGCTGCAGATTTCTATTTCTGCAGAAATAGAACATTTCATTCATATTTTACACATGCACACAACATATTTATTCAATATATTGTCTTATTACATGCATATTTCACATATAACAAATGTCAGCAGCTTGATTCTTTATATTGTCGCAAAATATATCTTATCAACTATAATGTGCCTATAATGTCCTAAATGCAACTATAACTCATGAGGATATTCATAAGATATCATGAACATTAACATCATGATTTTCTGTAAAGCTGCTTTGAAACACTATGTATTATTAAAAGCACTATACAAATAATATTCAATTATCAATATTATAATCAATCAATATTGTGTATATTGATTGCTAAACTTAACGTGCCGTTGTTTCTATATAGCTGTGTTTTAAACTAAAATTGATACATCATGTGCATTTCTTTGGTAAGTAGCTGTGTAATATGCTTGAAAATGTCCAGGTAAGCATTTTTACATGAACATTATCCTTGCAAGCTGCATTGTGCTTTTAGCCATCTTTATTTAATATTTTAGCCTATTTGACAATGCTGTCATATATGATATTATGTTCTTGTATCGCTGCTTAATGACACTCTTAAGTAGGATATGAGTCTCTCCTGCAATAAGCTATTTGTTTGAATAATTATATCTCACAGCCAAAAGTGTCAATCAGTGGTACAGTGTGGTATGCATTTTAGAGCATTAATAATCATGACTGCTAATGGAAATGTGTATATTTGGATGCTGGTCTAACCCATACCATGAAGTCGATGTTATTATCTTCGTTCTTGAAATGCTCCATGAGTTTCTCAAACCGCTGATCTTCTGAACACACCTGCAAAGCAAGAAAGAAATAGCTCATGCAGTGAGAGAGAGAACATTAAAATAATGCCCAGAGAAAATGAAAATGAGATGTTGATGAATCTCTTTTAGCCTCTAATAAAATCTTTTGATATTTCAAAAACACCTTGATGCAGTACAGTAGTTCGTTTTTGGTTCTCAAATCATCCCCTTAGGAAATCATACTAACTTGATCTCTCCTCCACAGACCAGAGAGATATGAATACATTCAGAAGCTGTTGTGATCCTGTGTGTGATGTGTTTAGCAGGTGTGTGTCTAAACCTATTTACAGTACAGGACAGTCAGCCTAAAACTTCACACACTGCCCTCAGTCATATGTATAGTTATCCGTTATCATGGATCATATCTATTAAGCTATCACTCAGTGGCTTCTGGAACACAGACTACAGCTTTTAAACTGAAAACAGTGCCTCTGTAATTGAATCATTTGTGTGTGTGTGTGTGTGTGTGTTAGAAATAGCATTAGTGTATCTGTGTATGCACCTCTTTAAAATGATCAAAGGCGGAGAGGATGATCTCGTGACCTCCTCGAACCAGACACACAGCAGCCAGCAGCTCCAGCACCAGAGCTTTAGTCCTGCACCAGCAGAGAGCAATATTTATCATGATTACACAGGCTATTACTGCACATTTTGGCAAAAAAAATCTCTTCTGCATCTTTTAGAAGATACAGAAGATTTACACGACAGTTCAAAGGTTTGGGGTCAGAAATGCATAACTGTTTTCCCCATTGACAATAATAATAAAAGTTTCTTGAGCAGCAAATCAGCATATTAGAGTGATTTCTGAAGGATCATGTGACACTGAAGACTGGAGTAATGATGCTGAAAATTCAAGCTTTGATTGTGAGATTAAATTACATTTTAAAATATATTAAAACAGAAAACAGTTCTTTTAAATTGTAATATTTTTTCACAATATTGATGTTTTTACTGTATTTTCGATCAAATAAATCCAGCTTTAGTGAGCATACGAGACTTGTTTCAAACACATAAAAGAAAAAAAAGATTGACCCCAAAAAACAAAACAAATATTTAACATTTTCTCCAATTTCTGTCATTTACACAGATGGCGTAAAGAACCCATCCAACCGCACACTGAGATTAAGGGGTCTGTTGTTGTAGCTGCCAGTATTTATGACTCTGAAAGAGGAGGAATTAAAGCGGTGGATTCTGGGAAAGTAGCCTCTCTTTCAGAGATACACACACACACATTTACTCCAGCTCAATGGGTTACCTGGGATTCTTATTGTTCAGACTTAGTGCAATTTCATTCACAGCATGAGGGTGAGACATGACCATGTTGAAGCCGTACTGAGAGAAAGACAGAGAGAGGACTAATTAGTAAACATGGCAGGATCTTCAAGATGTATTCTCTGAACATTAAACATGATAAAGACCAAACAGCTTTCCATGAATCAGTGTGTGTGTGTGTGTGTGTGAGAGAGAGAGAGTGTGAGTGTGTGTGTGTGTGTACGCGTTTTTGTGACAAATGAGGACATAAATTTGTATAATGACAAAGGTATGACATAGGTATTACAAGGAGAAGGTGACTTTTCAGGACATTACCCCATGTCCCCACTTTTCAAAACGCTTATAAATCACACAGAATGGAGTGTATTGAAAATCTGAAATAGCACAAAGTCTCCTGTGAGGGGTAGGTTTAGGGGTAGGGTTGGTGTAGGGCAATAGAATATACGGTCTGTACAGTAGAAAACCCATTACGCCTATGGGATGTCCCCACTTTTCACAAATGTAAACCTGTGTGTGTGTGTGTGTGTGTGAGAGAGTGTGTGTCTGTGTGTGTGAGAGAGAGAGTGTGTGTGTGTGTGTGTACGGGTTTTCTGTATAAGTGAGGCCCAGCATGTCTTCACTAATGAACTGAAACCTTGAACAGCTGGACCTCACTGTTTGTGATCTTTTTTATTTTATTATAATAATGTCAACAGGTTTTTGTGAGTGTTAGAAGTTGGATATAGCAAATGTCAAATGTCAGTATGAAAACCAGTCTCACCAGGACTTAACAATTTTTTGAGTGATTTTTTGCTATCAAAATTACTGATTTTGCAGCAGTCATTTCCAGAGATTTGGGAGAAATTTACGTTAGACACTGGATGTACAAGTCATACGACAGACAAAAAAAAAGTATTTAATACTACAGGAATGTCAGTATTACAGTAAGTAATACAGTAATTCAAAACTTTTACATCAAATCTAAAAAGAAAATTTAATAACTCGTTTTAACACCAAGCACATCCCACAATTTATTTTAATTCATGCATGTTTGTCACACTAACTTACTTATAATAACTTTAAGTAGTACGTTGCTTTTTGTGATTATTTAGTAGTTATCACAAAAAAGTGGCATTTTGTTGATTTTGCATTGTGTCTTTACTAATATAAATTCAAAGGTTTGATGTGTGTGTTTTACCTGGTAGTTCATGATGGCTCGTAGGCACATGATGCACACATGAACGTCGTCTTTCTTACATACTAATCTGGAATTCTTCAGTGTCCTCCGGCTGGGTAACGTGTTAGACCTGAGAGAGTTTATTAACCAATGAAATCAGTAGTTCATCCAACATATGGAAATACTGTCATCATTTAGTCACCCTTGTGCTCCAAACCCATTTGACTCTAGTTCTTCTGTGGAACACAGGAGATGTTTAGCAGATGTTCACATTCACTTTCATTGCACAGAAAAGAAGCAGCTTGGACATTCCGCAAAATATCTCCTTTTGTTTTCCACTGAAGAAATAAAGTTGTGGAGCAACATGAGGATGATGTTATAGCTATAACATACCCTATCAATCAAAAGTTTGGGGTACTGAAAGTACTGAAAGTTCAAAAGAACAACATTTATATGAAATCGTACCTTTATAAATGTCTTTGCTGTCAATTTAATGCATTCTTGCTGAATAAAAATATTAATTTCTTTCAAAAAAATCGTACTAACCCCAAACTTTTGATAGGTAGTTCTTTCTTTTAAAAGGTAAACTATTATCTTAAACAAAGAACTACTTCTCAAGATGTTTAAAATGATTACAAGCATGACAAATATGCATCATCTTCTTGTAAAGTCAAGTCAAGTCACCTTTATTTGTATAGCGCTTTTAACAATACAGATTGTGTCAAAGCAACTTTACAGTATTAAATAGGAAAATAGTGTGTCAATGATGCAAAAACACAAATCTAGAGTCATATCCTGATGTAGACTCACAAGACTAAATCAAGGCAGAGAGGGATCAGGACCACAGGAAGTATTCTCATATTGAAACCGTGTCTTTAAATGCTACAAGTTCTGTGTTTAGGTCTGTCAGCAGCTTTTCCTGTGAGTGATGTGTGAGGATTTGCATTGTCTTACAGCAGTTAAAGCGCTCTGTGCACACATATCACCTCCACAATACAACAGCAGCGTCATTGACATGCATGCCAGCTATCGGGCCCAAGCCAAAGGCTTTTATGTGTGAGAACAGAGACGCACAGCAACAGATGCGCACAAAGAACACACACAAACAGGTATAACATAGATGCACATTTGACTAACTCTCACCAATCGACAAAGACATATAAACATACTCACACACAAAATAAAATTATGCATACGACAAACAGAGAGATAAACAGGCTCACAAACAGACTAGAGAAGGTTTACACACACACACACACACACACAAACTAACACAAAAGGCACAAAGTTATTTTCAAGACTGTCACAAGACGAGCTGGGCGTGATTTTCTGAAAACAAATACACACACACAAACACATAATGCAATATGTCAGCAGCAGTGCCTGAGGGAACGGTTTGTACTCAATGCTGAACTCATTCAGAAACACACACAGAACATTAACACACTCAAGTCTGCACTAAAGGTGTGTGATATGTATCATCTTTTGTGATTGATGTTTTAACCATGTGGAAGCCATGCGATTTTGCAAAAAAACTAACAAGAGCACATCCACTTTCACTGTGTGATGTAGCCTGACAGACTACAGTTCATATGACGTAGTTCACATATTGTATAATGAATGACACAGTTAAGCAATGCCGTAAACGCAAGCAAGTGTGCGGTTTTCCCGAACATCAGCATGATTGCAAATTTGATATTTATTTTGTTCAATAGTTCAATAAAAAGGAAATAAATATTGAGTTTTTGCTCTATTTCACCAAAGAAATCATTCCAAACAAAGCCGCAACAGAGCTGTTGTGCGTCAACAAACAGTGCTGTGTCATTACTGAATGAATTAGCATTTTTGAATGAATCAATGATTCAATGATCAATTCATAAAGAAAGTCAATTGCTTCGTTCCTAAATCAATCAGCCATTTGAATCAATCAGCTGAATTAATAACTCAGTGACTCACTCATTAATGCAGTGAACTGCCACCTACTGGTGGTTTTAGTTTCATATTTAAAATATAATTTCATTAAAACATCATATTTCAAAATTCAAATATTATTTTAAAATTGTATCATTATTTATGCAATTGTAATTGCAGTGTAAATACATCTAAACACTGCTTTTGCAGTACAAAATGGATACTGATTGTATTTGATTGGTAACAGTTGTGTCTTATTCCAATTGAATTTATTGATTAAATGTAAGAATCTGACATAAGATAAGATGCAAAAATCTAATAAAGTTATGTGGAGAATATGAAATGTTTCGGGAGTCACATGTCCATGACAGGCTTAAACCAGCTAATATACCAGTACAGAAACACATTCAGTGAAATACCTAATCATCGTTCTCAACAAAATCCCAGAAAATATCCTGATATAATATTTTGTCAACATCACACACCCCTAGCCTGCACTGATTGCTAGAATTTCACAGCTGCATTATTATTGCTGTAATGTGGTTTGTCTTTCAACTCTGACATGAGTGGGAATGATAATGTGTGAATGTCTTTACAAAGTTATTGTCTGCTAACATTTCAGCTGTAACTCCACCTTCTAATCTCTTTTGTCCAGAACACCACAAGGGCCTAGAAGCTCTTGCAGAGAGCACTGAATGGTATGTGTGTGTAATGTTTTTGTCATACTGTATATCCGGATGTATGACTGTGCTCATCCAGAACACAATTTTCCTGACTCATATCTGTCAGGTGATTTCACCAGCACACACGCTTAAACATGTCCTCTGTAGTTGCAAAAGCTGATGCTCCAAGGTACGTGTTTTATGATAAGAGAACAGAAAATAATTTGGTCTCGTCTGTCAGTTTGAAAACAAACAAACAAAAAACAGTATGTAAAGAACATCCAATTATAAATGTTGTATTTGAGATATTTGGGATTTAGAACTTATATCAAATGTGAAGCTTTGTTAAAGAATTTATAATTATTATCTGAACAAATGTTATTTGAGCTTTTAGGCCCCGAAATGTGTTATTTGGGGCTCAAAGGACAATTAATATTCACTGAACTGTATCGATTTAACTGTACTTAACTATCAAATAAGATTGCTGAATAATTAAAGTAAATTGAGCTCAATAATGCCACTATTGTCTTCTGTAGAGCTACTCTACAGTTAAAAAATATTTTTTTAATTTGATTTTGATTATTACTGTAAAGCTGCTTTGAAGCAATCTGTATTGTATAAAGTGCTATATAAATAAAATGACAGGACTTGACTGTACTGTAAGTGTCCAAATTGTCTTTTTGGTGGTATAGGTGGATGCATCTCTGATTATGTGCTACAGATGTAATTTCTATAGGTGGAGTTTGCTCTGTGTAAACAGTTTTCTGTAGATATTGACATCATATCCCTATTCTGATGAAGGAGATGAAAGATTGGATATAAATGTACAAAGACAAGTTTAGTGGGTGACTTTATCACACTCGCCACATGCTGTGTACTGAGTAATCTATATCTCACAATATAGTTATTTTTGGTTTAAATAGGGTCTTTATGATATATAATTTTTTGACACCATAGAAATGTCATAATTTTTTGTCACCAGTGTCAATAATATCACAAAAAACTAACACTAGCCTGACTGAATGAATGAAAACTCAGGCTCACTGAAGACAAGCATACAGTCAGCTATCAAATAAGCATAATAAACGAATTACAAGCAATAGGATAAAAATAGAACAAATAAATTAAGTAATCAAATGTATAAAACCCTGCACATACTACTCTGTGTAAATTAAATATATATTTCTTCTTATTAAAGTCACAAAAGTGATTTAGTCTAGATTTTTGTGATTTTGTTGTTTGATTAACATGAATGGCAGAGAGCAGGACTTTTAGACTGCTGTCACTTTAAGAACTGCCCGGGTCCAATATACTGTTACATGTGGGCGACACTTTAGTATAGGGAGCAATTCTCATTATTAACTAGTTGCTTATTAGCATGCATATTATTAACATATTGGCTGTTTATTAGTACTTATAAAGCACATATTCTGCATGAAAATATTCTACATTTATATTCCAACCCAATACATGGGCTTAACAACTACCTTACTAACTATTAATGAGCAGCAAATTAGGAGTTTATTGAGGCAAAAGTCCTAGTTAATGGTTTGTTAATATGACCTTAAAATAAAGTGTGACCCAGATGTGTTTTCTTTCTCAGCTGTTCGCTTTCATTTAAGACCTAAATTACTGTGTTTACAAGGGTACTTGCAAAGGCGGGCATATTTTGACACATACAAGGGTGTGTATTTAACTGTTCAAGGCCTATAAAGCAGCAAAATAACTCAATGCTCAGTTCTCTATGAGCACCGTCTTCATGTGCGCACGGCTCTCTAACAGCACGAAATGAATTCTCTTTTGCTGCCTATTGCATTTCAATGGCTTAAAATCACTGATTTTTAAACCGCAATGCTTAAACATGCATGCAAACGATACGTTTTCATGACCATGTAGTACAGCAATGTCACATGAGCGTGTAACAGCGACAGAGACTATCCCTATCGCCCACCCCTAGCTGAGCCTACATTTTCTGTGGTAACTGACAGATATTTTTGATAAAACCTTAACTTGGGTAACACTGTTCCTATAATGCATTACCCTTATTCTGCATACATATTTCTATATAAATATCTTATGAATAATCGTAACAAACATAATACCTACCTACCCGGTGGTTATAATATTAACAGTATAATGGTTTATATAACACATGATTAACACCATCTATATCCATGTATACTGTAAATCCATCTAAATTATAATGGATTTTTCCCATAGTTATAATGTATTATAAGTCTTGAGAACTGTTTAAGATCTAAACAATATCCTACTTCATCTTACAAGTGGTCAAAGCCTTCTTGTAAACTTACAGTACAAAAGGCTTTATAATCTGTTTATTATATTTATAAGTGGTCTTTGTCTGTTTTAAGTATTTTTAACAGCCATATGTTATCATGAATGTGTAACATATGACATTGCTTTGAGCATGTTTTATTTTAATATCAACAAATAATGCATTGTTTGAAATGTTAACGGGCTACTAGTGAGCTTAAACTAGCTCACACTGAAATTTACTTTAGTCACACTCAAATATGAACAAACACTCAACAACTCATAAGACGTATACGATACTCCGCAGATCTTAAATAAACAATATAAAGATAACTTATAAGTCTGGGAAGTATAATCCATCATAACGCATGTTGTAATGTATTATAACTGTGATGGTACAACATGTTCTAAAATATTTTTTAATATAATGCATGCATTGTAATGCCTTTTGAAGGCCCTTGTAATGAATTATAAATACATGCTTCATATAAGTGTTACCATGAAGTTATATTATAAACAGTCAACATCAATAGTCAACTCAATAACGCAATTCTCAAACACTGTACTATTTTATTTTATGTCTACAGAATTCTATAAAAATCTACAAAACTTTGAGCTAATCCTAAACACCAAATAAAAAGTGAAGTGACATGTGGCCAAGTATGGTGACCCATACTTGGAATTAGTGCTCTGCATTTACCCATCCAAAGTGCACACACACACACCGGGAACACACACCCGGAGCAGTGGGCAGCCATTTATGCTGCGGTGTCCGGGGAGCAGTTGGGGGTTCGGTGCCTTGCTCAAGGGCACCTCAGTCGTGGTATTGAAGGTGGAAGAGAGCGCTGTACATTCACTCCCCCCACCCACAATCCCTACCGGTACGAGACTCGAACCCACAGCCTTTGGGTTATGAGTCCGACTCTCTAACCATTAGGCCACGACTTCCCCGAAATGCAGCAGACATACCCTCGTTTCTCTGAGCACTTTGGGCATTGTGGATGAGTCTGTGTGCAGTGGGCAGCCATTTATGCTGCGGTGTCCGGGGAGCAGTTGGGGGTTCGGTGCCTTGCTCAAGGGCACCTCAGTCGTGGTATTGAAGGTGGAAGAGAGCGCTGTACATTCACTCCCCCCACCCACAATCCCTACCGGTACGAGACTCGAACCCACAGCCTTTGGGTTATGAGTCCGACTCTCTAACCATTAGGCCACGACTTCCCCCAAATGCAGCAGACATACCCTCGTTTCTCTGAGCACTTTGGGCATTGTGGATGAGTCTGTGCTCTTCAGGAGGGCATTGGGAAATTTGAGAATTACTCTTTTAAAAATCTGAATACAGCACACAATTTAAGCCTACAAATTACTAAGAGCTGAGGGAAAGCATGGAAACAAAACTACTGTATGTGGGCAGAACCTCTGATCTATGCAATCACACCACTGGATGTAAAGTTTATGGTGAGAAATTATTAAATTAATTCATAAATCCACTGCACAGCAGCATGATCCGATAGAGAAGCCTGACAGACTACATGAGGGTACGTTACATCTGAGGCTGCAGGCACACAGCTAGCTACTGAACTCACTCTAGTTCAGCACATTAGAGAGACATGGAGGGGAGAGGAGACTCTATCTGAAGGACAAAAACAACATGCCTTGTGCTGCAGATGGGAACACACAACAGGAAACTGCAGACAGAGTGACAACTGCATTAATTACACAGAAATACCTGTGACAGATTTCTAGCAAAACGGTCAGACCAAAGTGTGTTTTATTCATTTAAAGGTACACTGAATTAATAAAATTGTACACCCAAAGAAAATTATAAGCACATATAAATAGAATGTTTTAGTTTTCATGAATGCCCGTTCACATCAAGAAAGATAATTAGATTAATAACTATAAAATGATAACTACACTGGCATCCACACCAAGCTCTGTTTGATATAAGCCCGCACTGCAGTTATATCTTCAGTCTGATTCTGATTGGCTGCCTATGTTTTTATCAGCTGAAAAATGTTTTTTAAAAAAGTTATACAGTGATTCCAACAATATCATTATTCTATGTAGTTATTGAAATCAGGGTTATTAACTCTTTCCCCGCCAGCATTTTTGAAAAAAAGTTGCCAGCCACCGCCAGCGATTTTGATGATTTTCACTCAAATTTGATGGCCTCCAGAATATTTTGCTGTATGAATATTTGAATATGCAATACACCAAAATAAAGATCAGAGCCTCTACTTTTAAACAAAAAAAGTTTTTTTAAGCATTTATTCTAGCTTAAACCATTATTTTTTTTATCAACACTTGAATATAGGTAGGTTTCATAAAAATGCATAATTTTGAGCAAAAAGGTGAGAAAATCCCATTTTTATCAAAAACTACATCTGGGTAATATTCAGTACGATTATCAAAGCATAAATCCAGTAAATCGCTTCTATCAACACCTCCAAAGCTTGCACAGACATATACCACTTCTTGGATCAACATTTTACTCCGTAACATTATGCAGTTTTCATTTATATGCTGCCATTGCTGATGATCGCATTATGTTTCATATGCATCTGTATACATAAGAGATCGCTCGGTTCTCCGTCCTGTACACATGTGTCTTTGTTCGGGAGGTTTTGTACTTGTTCAGAAGATGTGTAATAGCGCCCCCTAGTGTATAACATTGAAAACACGAAAAGCCGTAAAAACTCGTCTTTGGCGGGGAAGCGTTGTCTTCTAAAAGACGAGATAACTCGTCAATGGTGGGGAAAGAGTTAAAGTTAACGAAAACCACAAAAAAAGTTACTTTTGAACTGTCATCAAGGTATATAGTCTAACACTAAACTAAAACTAAAACTAAAATCATAAAAAATTGTTACTTGAAATAAATTATATTAAAAAAAATATTAATTTTATTTTAGCAGGTTTCCAATGAAACATTTCCATTTAGTTTCACTTAATGAAATAACTAAAACTAAAATAAAAATTAATAAAAAGAACTACATAGACTTTTAACAAAAATATATAAATAATATCACTATAATAACATCTCAATGATAAATGACCACTGATTGTTATAGCTGGGGTGTGAACCATAGTCTCATAGAATTAGAATTAATGATTATTAAAAGTAGTTATCGTCTATGTGAACAGGCCTTAAGAGTGTCACCTACTCATAAATGCAGAATGGAGGACCTTCATTATGAATACTATTTTCTGTATTAACTCTAAACTATTTGGCCATTAAAATAAACAAATAAAAAATACTGAGTCTACATTCATTTCTTTATAAAACTTGCTTATTCAGGTTGAGACTTTGGAGTCAGATCACATTGCAGGGGCTTTGTTTTGTCTTACACACTGTTGAAGATGCACGTCTCCAATATTAGCTGAATAGATATGAGCCCAGAAGAAACACCTGAGCAGAATTCCAAAATTAGAATCTGGAATTCTCTTTAACTGCTGCATGAGGGTTAGACCTTAACCCAATTCAAGTGACAGGGGGCTTAACATATTGAACCCATTCAAACAGATCCCCTCATGCTCCGTGTAAATACTTCTATCCCATCATCAGGCTGCTCGATAACAGACAGGCAAGGTCCTGTATTAATATTCATATGGTGGTGATGTGTCAGTTGTCCATTCTTCATCAGAATATAAACGTCTAAGCCAGTTTTGTGAGTCAGCGGCCAGACGGACAGACAGACACACGTCGACTGTGTTTTGACATGGTGCACTGTTTCCTAAGCCATTTAAAGTCATACAGGTCTCATGACTATACAAAAGAGCCTTTCAGAAAGCGCATGGAGTCTGTACACACTCTCTGCAGTCAGACAAACCATATCTCGTTCAGATTAGAACTATAAGATACTATCAGCGTCTTGTTTGCTATGATTCTGCTGTAATAACAAAAGATCTGTTTGTGCGTTCACACCTTATGGTTGAATGTCTGCTGGCTCTGGAGATGCTGTTGCCTGTGACAGCTGATGAGAGGTTGTTTGCTCCATGGAGATCTTCAATCGATCGATTCCAGGGTTTAGATTTATCCACAGAGTTTTCTGTGCTGTTCTCAGAGCTGTCTCCGTCATACCTGTCAAACGCACAGCAGCAGGGGCTCAGGACTTACCAAAATAAGAATATTATATTGTCTGTTTTCTGTACATCCTCCTAAAACATACTTTATCTGCGGTCATGGGACATTTGCTTACATGCACTGCAAAAATGATAATCCTAACCCTAATTCACTTAAGAAACACGTATTAATACTTTCATAAAATAAAATAATACTTTAAAAATCATGGTAAAACAATAATATTAAAAATCCTTTTTTTAAATGACTGTTATGACTGAAGTTTTTGTAAAACACAAACTTTTTTCACATTTATGTGAAAAAACAAAGATACAGCAGCAGTCTGGGTAAAAGGAGCCATTGTGTTCATGTTCAGTACAATCACGGGTGACTTACGTGACAGCATACTGTGCAAACGAAAGATACTCCACCAACACATCCAAACCCTTATTCTCCTCATTCAGAAACTCCCGCACCCACCTAAACAGAGAGAGAGAAAGAGAATAAAAAAAAAACTGTCCATCAAAAGTTTGTACGCATTACTGTTTTACTTTAATATGTTTTATCATTACTACATTATAGTGGTATATCACTAATTACACCACTAGTAAGCATGTAGTAGTTAGACTAGATAATCTAGGAGACTCGACAGAGCTCACAGTGTGTCCCAGCGTTCAGAAACAGCACTTCAATACGGAGACAGACGTCATGAAATATGCATCATGGAACGGTGTCTCAGTAGCTTAAAAACAGCTTCAACGCAGTTCGGAGATTGAAAGCAAAGGTTTCATGTAGCTGGAGTTCTCCCTCAGAGCAACAGCAATGAGAGATACTTCAAAGACACGACAGAGACATCCCAGCATACCGCACACACACACACACACACACACACACACACACACACACACACAATCACACTGACAAAGACTGCGAGGATCCCAGAAATGATCAAAAGCCAGTTTTCACCTTTTCTTAGCAGTGAAAAGTAGGCCAACACCTCAAAACCTCACAGTTGTGAAAGAAAAACGAGTTATGTCTCTATTTCTTTTGAGTTTCTAATGAGCAGTTTAACTCATATGTGACTAAATGTATTTATCTGAACATTATGAGGGAACTATGGAAAATAGAACTAGTCTCATATAAGCAAATTGGTAAGTCTGTATACATTTGCATTGCATGGTTCTTGGAATATTTCATTTAAGTCAAATATTGCACTCTGTATAATTTTCAATGGGTTTATTTTGCATTAATGATCAGCTGACTGTACATTATCCCTTAAAATATAACTTTAACATAATGAACAAATGGGAGAAACATTGTTTGGGGAAATAAGGAACACATATATTCTAGGGACAGAGTCTGAGTTACCATTCTGTTGTTTTGTGTTTGTCGAACCCTCTGTGAGCAGATAATAGCCTACTGCTTTATCTCATCTAGATTAACTAGATCATTTATGTAATCTAGTTTAGTACCATACGGCAGCTAAATCTCTGTACGGGTTGTCTAGCAGCTCGGGGGTTTCTGGGAGTATGTTTGTCTGGTCTGAACCGCCCTTGAAATAATGAAACTATAATAACACTCATTTATGGGATGACAAGGAAAGAGTGTGTGCTGGTTGGTACTGGAATATCACATCTTCCCGTTTTCCTGTTGTGACATTTTCCCGACCTCGCCGAGTTCCGTCAGCCTTTCCACATCTGGTCAATCCTAGATCCCAGTATGCAACTGGGTGTGTGATTTTCAGCTCTCACAAAATCTCAGAATTTCTCCGCTCTGATTAGGCTGAGCAGGGATTCACAAAACAAAAACCTGGTGGGTTGGCAAACTTGGCATTCTAGCAGAATTCCACTATGCAGAAATATGACAAGTCCAGTCAGGAGCATTTGGCTGTTACATGCACCGCCTCACACAAAAGAGCATTATTTCAGCTTCAATGCATCTTACATGAGGGCTTTTGGAGTCTGTGTTACTCAGAGCAGTGATCACAGCTCCAGTGTGAGCAGTATTTAATGAACACGCATACACACAGATAAACTCACCCAATGTGATTGGTCCGTAATGAGATTTCCAGCTCCCGCAGGACCTGTGTCGACTCCTGCACTCTCCTCCTGAACTTCTGCAAAGGAAATAAAGAAGAAAAAGCCTTTACAGCAGCCTTCATCTACTAGGCTTAATAACAATGAGAAAGAAGTGTCTTTTAATATTGCAATTGTTTCTCATAGATAACAATAGCATTAAATAAATAGCAAATGGTGAAAAAGACAAAAGTAATCTCACACATATCCTCTACACTGGGAAAAAATAAAATAAAATAATAATAATAATATATATATATATATTTTTAATACACCTATATTTTTCTGCACAAAAAAAAAATAATATAAAATAAAATT